AGCAATTTTATGTCAGGGATTTATTTCTAGTAATATTGTGTATTTTTCTTCAATAAATCTAATTTATTAATGCATATTTTAAGTTTTATAATAAGTTATGATTATAATAGAGATGTGTCACCATATCATAAATATTTAATAAGGTTCTAGTTTTAGAATTTTTTTTTGATTTTAATATAATAAATAAGTAAACTTTGAATTATGTAATATCCTTGTCTTTAGTGTTTTAAAAGTTTCATTTTTATACAAAATGAAATAATCAAATATAGTATATAATATATTATATTATATCAAAACATTAAACGAAATTCTTTACAAATAATATTTTAAACCATGTTAATTTTACTTTGTAGCTCCAATTTGTATTTTGATCAATTTGTTAAATTTAATATAATGATATAAATGAGAAGAAGTATAGTGTGAAATTTTTTATGAAACAGAATCCTTTAAATTAAGGAAATCAAAAAAGGTTCCGGATTTTTCAAAATATTTGCAATGAGACCCTCATACAATATTTTTTTTAAATTTTTAAATGGGTGCTAACATTTTAGGCCCAGTTTGCAGATCTACGGAATGTATTATGACTCATTTCAAAACCATGATGGTGTACCCTAGTTTTAAATCTCTCCATTTAGGGTAAGTCTCCGCAAGCAAATTTTGCAAAAAAAAAAGGCAGATATGGGTATTTTTTAATTGCTAGTTAAGATAAAGATATACCGTCTTCTCGGTTTTTGGCAAAAAATTTCTGATGTTCTATAACCTCGTTAATCCTGATTGAGTTTGCATTTATTTTGCCTTATCCATATCTACATCGGAGTTACCCTTATCGGTATAGGGCTCGTTTGCAGTAGCTTTCAGAGCTCATCTTATATATTTGTTAGTATAAATTGCTGTGTTTCTTTTTGTCCACTTGTCCATTAGTGACGATGGCTATGCTTCCTTTAATCCGCGAATACACTTATACATCCGTTGATTTATAGAGGCCTGTTTCCTCTAGATTCCTGCCTGTCATCATACAAGCTTAAATGCCAATATTCAATATAAATCAAATAAACAGACATAGACAGAACTCTTTATGAATGGGATGCAAACCGTAAGGAATATCGGTTCGGTCCCGGTATTAACTATGTCAGATTTGGTTTGTAAAAAATAATAATATCGGTTTGTGAACTTAGAATAACCTGGTTCTAACGTTTTTTGCACACATACTTTATAAAATTATGAATAGAGAAGCACATTTTTTAAAATTTATCTTTAAATTCTATACTTTAACTTGGGAAGTTGGTACCTTCAAATAGCAAATTATTAAAAATGGTCAACTGATACTGTTTAATCAAAATTGATTGATGATAATCAAACAGTTGAATTTATCATAATGGTTCATATACTTTTTTGAAGGTTTAGTTCAGGTTCGGGTGACAGCATTTTTAACGGATCATGTTGAGTAGATAATAGAGAACTGCCCTTTTACATGTGGATTGTCACAGAGACAAAGATTGTAAGGAAAGAATAATACCAATCAATAATTAGTAACTAGCCATGATGAATCGCTGAAAACATGCGTTAATGGAGTTCATCAGTAGCCTTCACAGATAAAGAGCTAATCGTTGATCAAGAGTTGACAAGCAACAGAATATAGAAATCAAGAATTTCAAGCTGTAATAGGATACGAACGGTCTTAGAAACTAAGAATACTAGACAAGGGATAGCCGTAGTTGGAAATTAGAAGACTAAGGATTAAAAAGAATAGATTTGGTGAAGATACAAGATCATTAAAGTCGAAATCGAAAGAAGGTTAGACATTCGCAGAATGATGGGATTAAGTGGAAGGGTGTTGTGATTATATTATTTTGATTAAAGATCTTCTGTATATAAATTTGAATATTTACGGAAAATAGTTTTTTTTCTATAAAGTTGAATATTTAGAGTTCATGTAAAATTTGAATATGTATATTATTAATAATACGACGAGTATTATATTATATAAATAATGATACTATATATATATGGTTTTATATAGAAAGAGAAGATATTCTTTCTTTTTAATTTTTACTTATTTTTTTCGCATTTAATTTTTTACTTTTACTTTTTCTTAAATTCATTTTATTTTTTTATATTTTCCCTTTATATTAATTTATATAACTTACAATTAATTAATAGTATTTAATAAATGATCCAAAACTATAATTTTAGTATTTAATTGTATTTCTATTTTATATTTAGGTTCCTAATCTCCCTATCCAAATTCTCCCAACTACAACAATAATGTTTGAAATAAGAATTTAGAGAATAGAAATAACATAGAATAAATAAAATTAAATACTAATTGCTTTATTAAATAATATTAATTGTAATTAAATATTATAAATTAACAAAAATTAAAAAGCAAAATAAAAATTAAAATTTATAAAAATTTATAAAAAATTTCTTCTTCTTATTACAACTTTTTTATCGCTATATTTATATTACTAAAATTTACATCATATAATCTCTTCTTATTCATATTCAAATTTTAATATTTAACTTTATATATATAAAAAAGCTATTTTCCGTAACTATTCAAATTTATATAAACCACTATATAAAAATACAAATAATAATATTCTAATTATTATAACACCCTTCCACTTACGTTGGATCCACCCTTCTGTTAGTCTTGTATCTCCAACAAATCTATTCTTCATAATCTTTAATGTATTTTAATTTATAACTACAGCTGTCTTTTGCTTGTATTCTTATTTCTGTAAACTGTTCATGTCCGATTACAGCTTGAACATTAAGTTATCCCCATATTTCGCGAAAGCATCTCTTTTATCTCATCATGTCTACGATAAAGATTGCTTATAACGATAACGCTCTTTGCGATACTGACTTGTCACGATCCTAACGGTACCAATCTCTTGTAACTTGTAATAAAGATCTCTTATATGATAACGATTTCTTGTATCAATGATCCCAAATAAAAATCCGATCTCTAAATGAGCTCGATTGCGGCCTTAATTTTCTAAAGATGAAAGCCGTTTCTCTTTATGAATTGGTTAATCAACAACCTAATATTTTGCTAAATATTATCAACTTAATTCACCGTTAAACGTATATCTTTAATAAAAATAACTAATTTCTTTTAGCTAAAACGATCACTTGTACGTATAACAATCTCTTGTGACGAATTCCTTTTAATAATCACGATCTCTTGAGACTAAAACGACTAATTCTATCCTTTTTCGAACTACGACCATTTGTCTGCATATTGATACCATTGATTCTTTGCTCTCATTCTTTATCGTGTCAATGGTCATTTCATACATCCCGTTTCGGCAACAATGTTTGGCTATAGCGATAAAAAATGTAATATTAAGAAATTTTTATAATTTTTAGTTTGACTCTGATTTTATATTTTTAGTTGATTTTATATTTTTAGTTTGATTTTATATTATTACGTTTTAATTTAATAAATTAAATGGACATCTTCAATTAGTGTTCATATTAAATATTCAACTTCTAATGTTGCCGAAAAATCTATGTACTATGATGGATCTAAACATTCAGTCTAATTAACTCTGAAAAGAAATTCTAAATAAAGGGAAAAATTCATATTCAAATTTTAATATTTAACTTTATATATAAAAAAAGCTATTTTCCGTAACTATTCAAATTTATATAAACCACTATTTAATACAAATAAAAATATCCTAATTTTATAACAACCGTATGCCTTCCATAGTTGACATTTGGATTTTTTCGGTATCCATTAAACATGATTTTAGGAACAAATATAGTCACGATATTGCTTATAATAAAGATGAAGGAAAAATTAATATCTAACTAATAATAGGCTCATTAAAGTATAATGTTATACCTGTAGGGGTACAGCAAAATTAGGTTTATGCTTTATTGACCCGGGCTTATCAGAATTCAAATAATTTAGAGCACACAACAAGTAAATTTCATATAGAATATCTACATGCGAATTTTCAACACTTTTACTGTCAATTTTTGAATTACTATTAGGTTCTATTATATACAGATTTGTCATTAAAAATAGAAATAATAGCACCATTTATGGAAAATTTATTTAGAATTCAAAGGGTGGGTACTAATTATATGCTGGAATACGATTCCAGCAAGCAGGTCTTTCAAGGGCAAATAAAACTTTAAAAATTTACTAAAATGGGACGTGGCCTATTAAATTTGTTAAACCTCGACTGCATATTATAAATCTTATTGCAATTTATTATAACATAACATTTGTCAAATTTCTTTATATCTTTCAAAATTCTCCTAAGAGTAAATATTTTGATATATTGTAATTTTTTTTAAAAAATAAGTCTTTCCATAAATTATATTTAAGCAATTATTTTTGATTGTAAAAAAAAATAAAATAAAAAATCATAATTTGTATTAATTTATAATCAAAACAACTTTTAAATTTTAAAAATTGTATTGCTAGAAATATACTCCAGCAAATGTAAAATTTACCTATACTATAAATTTCAGACAATTTTCCCCATATGAACTTTTGTGTTTTTTTAAAGAATCTATTTGAAAAATCGATATAAAAATAAATGGTCTGGACTGAAAGATTGTATTTCTAGGAATCTACTCTATTCACGCTGTTAGAATTAATCTAATTTTTGTAAAATTTAAAACCTAGTAAATGATTTAAAAAATTTAAAAGCTTTAAATCCCAGATAATTTTATATACCAATAACCCCATACCAGGTGGCGTAAAAAAAAGTCACATTTTAAAATATTCTCTAAAACGCTTTATTTTTATTAAAGGGTGCATTTGCTTAGAATATTTTTATGATTTAATCTAGTTATATTTTTAGAAAATTGAGATTAAAAATACTAAATTTTGATAAAAATAACTCAAAACCCTTAAAATTTTGTGTTGGACTTCATCATAAATTATAAGACAAAATACAAACATATTTAGAAATTTTATTTAAATACAATTATAGAATTATCAAATTACATAAATATAATTAGATCGGTCCTTTTTTGTATAACTCAACATCTAACAATTTTTTCAGGAGTCGGTAAATGAGAAATTTCCCATCCTGTGAAATTTGTTTGTTTTCATAAATATTCTTTTAAGCTAATAAAAAATTTCTCCTAACCCCCCTTACCTCCTAACCTCCCCCCCCCCTCCCCATTCCAAAAAAATATATACATTATATCACTTGAGACAAAATAACTAAAAGTTAATAAGTTTTAAAACAACCAACTATAATTCAAAATTTTTATTAAAAGAAACATTTTTATAAAAGCCAAAATTATATTTTGTACAAATAATAAAATTTATGGTGGAAAACAACACCTAATAGTATCCCCGTCCTTCCATATGAAAATCTTGTAACCATTTATGAAAATCTTGTACCCATTTCCTTGTTTCCGAATATGGATTCCGTTATCTATACACTCTGAAGCTTGTTGAGCTGCATGTTCCATTTTTTCCCATTGAATTCACGAATCAAACTTGGTGCATTCCAATTTTCTCTTCTTTAGAATTTTATCAGTGTATGATCCTTTTTTTGATAACATTTACAATTTACAAGGTTATAATTTGATTTTGTTGGATGTTTATAAAAGGCTTTTAATAATCAGATTTATTTTTTAATAAAAGAAAAAATATCATTAAATCGCTTGACGCCTTTTAGAGTCATAAAAATATCATAATGCGACTGGGTTTTTATATGCTACCAGATATATAATAATTATTATTTTATTAATTCAACCATTAAAAACATAATAAAACAACTTCTCAGCCAGGATTTTTCTCGTCACATTTTAAAAATAAGAAATGGATAACATGAATAAAAGTGCAAATTATAATATAGGTTACAAAATTGTAAAAGTACAGATACATAAATGTTGTATCAGTATTTTAACCAGATATATTAATCTGTTTATAGATACATTTTGATATAATTTTTTTTTACGTTTTTTATTATTATAAATTTATTCCTATTTTATTTTATTTTTTAATTCAAAATGTCTTTATTTATAGATATTTAATTTTAAAAGAAAAGATACATATAAAAAATATTTTAAAAAGAACATTTAAAAAAAAATCAAAACAGGCAAAGACTTCCAAAATAAAAACAAAAATAATCCTTTAGATCATTCTGGATATTGAACCATGAATAGAGAGATTAGATTTGCATATAGATATGGTTGTTGCTTAAGATAAAAGTATTCATAGAAATCTTCTGTTTTTGATTGGATGTTAACGTCTAAAAATTTTATAGCTTCATGGCCAAAATTTTCTAAAATAGTCCTACAAAAGGAATAAAATTTAATTTGTTAAAAATAGTATTTATTGAATTTTTGTATCTCCGTTTGGATGTCTGAAAGGGAATTGTTTGCTGCGGCAAATACATCGATACATGTAATATCCCAAGCATATTCACTGCCTTCCTTGATTGGTATAACTGGGTTCCAGGTCTTTATACAGAAACTAATGAATGCATTTTATGAGAAACCATTGTAAAGAATGTATTTTATAGAGAAACATTTATAGAGAAAACAATTATAGAAAATGCATTTATAGAGAATCATTTTACAGAGAATGTTTTATATAGAGAATGACGTTTATAGAGAACTAATTTATAGAGAAAATTTTTATAGAAAATGTTGTTTATAAAGAACGATTTTATAGAGAATGCGTTTATAGAAAATAATTTAGGATAAGCCTATTTTGGTTAGGGTAAGATATACTTAAAAAATGGTTTTATATAAAATTAAATCATTTTTTTATTAATAAACTGTCAAATCTGACAAGCCATATGACTATAAATTGACGAATAGAAATTTAAATAAATCAGCTGTCATAACAGAAATTTCCGACTATGATCTATAATTATATACACCTGGTTTTTTAAAAAAAGATAAAACCAATTAAAGTGTCCGAATTTATTTTTTTTAAAAAAAAATATTTGTAAGTAAAATAGAAAACCCACAGCAAAATCGATAAAAAAAATATATTGTTTGACAATAATCAATATAATATATTATTAAAATAAAACCATTTACTACTAATATATTTTTATTTTATTTAGCAATTATTTATTATTTATTTTTATTAATAATATTTCTGAGAAGATGATGAACGAAGAGGGGGGTAAGTAATAAAAAAATGTGTAAGTCAAAAAAAAAGAAAGGATATCATTTAAAAAACCAATAATTTTATTTTATTTTAATTTTTTTTCAAAAATTATAAAATAAAAAAATATATAAAATTTAAAATTTGTAAAATAAATAACTAAATTTACGTTCTAATAGCATATAGACACCACAGATGAATTGAATTATGTATTACCACTGAAAGAAGGTAATAAATCTTAATTTTATGAAAAATTAAAAGTAAAAAATGGGACAATTTTTTATATTATAAAAGAGTTTTAGCTTCTTTGAATAAATTTTTTTCTAAAAAAAATTTGTGATCTCAATTATTAAGGATTATTTTATGCATAAAATCAAAGATTTAATTATAAATGATTTTTTTTACAAAAATAATTGGAATTTTAGGTAAGAATTTGATCAAAAATCTTGTTTTAAGCATAAAAATCTTATTTTATTTTGAAAAGTATTTAATTATAAACAATTAATATAGCTACTTAAAAAGTGTATTTATATATTTTTTTAGCAAAGGTTAAATTGTTGTGCATATATTAAAATAGTGATCTGCATCGGGCCTAATTTTTCAAGCCCGGCCCGGCCCGAAATGTTTTTTATAATGTTTTGCACAGCCCGGTCCGAACCCGAAATTTTTTTTAAAAAATTTTGCCGGCCCGGCCCAGCCCGAATTTATTAAAATATAGAAATTAATCTTTATAATAACTCAAAATAAACAATATATGTTATTTGGCGTCTACTTTCTATAATTAATCACATTATTTTATTTTACATAAAAAATTCAAAATAAAATTTATAAATTTAGATATATTTTAAAAAATTTCTAAAACTCGACCCGACCCGTCATGAATTTTCTTAAAAAATATTAGGCCCGGGCCGAAGCCCGTTCGAGCTGGATACGGGCCGGCCTACTTTTGCAGATCTCTATATTAGAACTCTTTATTTAAAATTTATTTTTTCAACTTTGACCAGACCCGAGAAAAAATTTTGTTTGACCGAGCTAATCCTTTTAAAAACATTTAGAAATAGAAATTGAAGGATAATATAAAAAACAGAAATTTAAGTTTTTTTTGTAAATTATATTGGTAAAAATGGATTAGGTAAATAAAATAATTTCCAAATTTTGTGGAGATACCAAGTCCAGTCTTATTAGAAATAGATTTTAAAATTAAGCTTCGAAATCTGTCCGAGTTCAAGAGAATGCTTTACCAAGTCCGACTGGTCACTAATTGAGCGGGATTAGATTCAGACTTGAATCTAGTGCAGAATTCGAGTTTATATTATTTATATATGAATCAATTTTTTTTTTTCAAACTCATAAAAGTTAATGAATTTTATATACAAAATTAATCAAAGAAATCAAAAATATATATTAAATAACTCACTTTACTCATAGTTCTTATTTTTTTTGTATCAATTGTATAAATTATTATTTTTTATATATTTTTAAATTTGATTTAAATTTAAACAATCTATCAAAATTATAATTTTTGAGAGTGGCAATTAGTGTTGTTAAACGGCTCGCTTTGAGCAGATTTTTAAAAACGATTAACTCAATATATTATCCAGAAAAATATTAAGCAAGCCTGAAGATTTTGTTCACAGAAGGCACAAAGGTCTAAGCATATATTAGTAAAATTTTAAGGTTTAGGCAATATTTTTCTGATAAAGTATTGAGCCGTTTTTAAAAATCGGCTCAAAACGAGCTGTTTAACAACACTAGTGGCAATACACCAAACTTTAGAACTGTTGCTACAAAGGTTTTAAAAATTAAAATATAGAATATCAAATTGTATGTAACCAAATGTAATCTCGGTAATAAAAATTCTAAAGAAAAAGAAGTCATAAATTTGTAATTTCTTAAAAATATGTCATCAAACGTAGATATAGTAAAGTAAACTCAACGGGAACAAAAAGAAATTAGTAATTTTTTGCTAATTTTATTTTGAAGTGTCCCTATGGCAAAACTTGTGAAAGTAAATGCTAGAAAGAAAATATACTATACCTAAGGTTTACGTAATATTTTTAATAAGGTATGAATAAGACTTTTAGCTAGAGATAGACTTTTAAATTAGATATTGAATTTTAAACTATTATAGTCAGGGACGGCGGCGACTTATAAAAATCTCTTATTGGGTTCAAAATTTTTGTATAATGAGTTCAAAAATTGAAGAAAATAAACTTAATCAAATTATAAAACTTTATTAAAACGGACAAGCGGCATTTTATTATCTAATATAAACAGGACGTGCTTATTATTTATCTAAGATTAACTTATATGTATTTATTATATTGCATATTTTGTAGTGTTGTTAAAGTAACTAGTTAAAAATAATTTTTGCTAAAAAATAACTGTAACTAGTTATATTTTAAAAATTGTAACTAGTAACTGTAACTAGTTATATTTTTTGGAATGTAACTGCCAAAAGTAACTAGTTACTTTTAAAAATATATATGTATAAATCGAAATAATATATTCTAATAATTAATTTTATTTTTAATGTTTTTTTAAAAATAATATAACTATTTATTAAAATTATAATACTATATCTATATTCTATGTAAAATATATAATTAAAGAAGAGAAATAAAATAATGTATTTAGGTTTGGTCGGCGGGGCTTAATGACCCATGTATAGATATACATTTGGATCGACAAATTTTGATTGATATTATTTGTCGTAAGTAGAAGACTTTTTTGGATCACCTGTGATTAAACATAACATTTACACATTGTTTTGAATAATTTTAGGGCCTGGGGTCCAAATGATCCACAGGAGTCTGAGACTACAAGAACAAACAAAATATTATCAAGGTGGCTATATTTATTTGTTTTTGTATTTTCAGCTTTCGTGATAGAGTTGAAATATAAAGATCTGGCAAAACGATCTACACATGTATAATTCCAAGCGAGGGGTATACCTTGGTCAGTGGCCCCTACACTTTTTGAGCGAATGAAGCAGAATACCCCCATGAAAAGTCCCCCTTGAAAAGTATCCCCCGCCCCTTCGAAAAAATGATAATTATGACACCCATAAATTTCAAAAATAATTTTTATTACATCAATTTTTAATATATAATATAAATAAAATGCAAAAAATATAACTTTATAAATATTATTTTTAAATTAATAATTTAGATAAATTAGGGGAAGAGAAAGCGAAAGAATTTATAATTTCATCAGTATTTAATTGTTTAAATAAAAAATTTCTCATTGATAATATGGTTAAATTATTGAGAAAAGAATCTTTCATGGTACTGCGCAGTCTTGTTTTAATTAATTTAATTTTACTCATGACTCTTTCGGCAGTACATGAGGCTGTGGGAATGGTTAATAAATATTTATATAAAATTCTTAAATTAGGGAAAGCAGAAAAATTTAAAAGTAAACGATAAGGTAAAATAAATGAATAGTTTTTCCAATCTGAATCGTAAGTCCCTGAATTATCATCATCATCAGAAGAAGCTAAATAATGTATTGGTAAAAATATTTTAATTAAATAAATTTAAAATTCTCAGAATCTGACAAATCTTTATATTCTTGGACCTCTAGGTCATGAGTAATAATTACATTCCCCATTTTGGCCATCTTATAAATATTTCTAAACTTCAACATTTCTTCGAAAATTTGACTTGAATTTAAATTGTAAAATTCACAGATATCCTCGATATCTTCTTTAATAATTGATTTTTCTGCCATTCACTTTGGCGTAAAAATGATGTTTGATGTAAAAATTTCATTGAATCATCATTAAATCTTTCGTTAAACTGCATAATAATTAAATCGAGTGCAGCATAAAACGCACCTATTTTAAAGCTAAAAAAAATTTCTATATTTAATGATGAAAGTATATATACCTAACCTTTTTGGATTGTAATGTTTGAAGTCTAGAACTTTCAAAATTAAAAGGTAGATTTCTCTCCTTCATAAAATCTTGCGCCTTTGAAAAAACATCCAAAAATTCAGTGTTATATTAAAAAATAATTAAGACATAATTTATATTATACTTCTCAAATTAATCAAGCAATCTTTTGCCAATTGAATTTGATTTATTGCATACCCTATATCCTTCGAAATGGTTTGCAATTTTATACAAGCCAAACTTGTTATCAACAATATTTTATCCAAAACACAAAGTGATAAGATAAAAACAAATTTTTCTATTCTAAAGACTATAGCACTAGCCATAGTGGAAGTGGCAGGATCTTCAGAATCCTTTAAATTTGTTAAAGCTGCCCTCAAGACATCATAAAGTTGAAAAAAATTTACAATAGCTTTATATGACGATAGCCAGCTTCTAAATAAAAAAAACATTTAAAATTTAAATAAATAAGGAACTATTATCGAGTGGTATTCTTGACGCGTAGAAATCGTTGCGATTTTTTCAGATCATTACACTGAAATTTTTTGAGTACCTCATATCTTTTTACACCATTAAAATAGACATAAATCTCATCTAGTATTCCTAGAACATTTCGAAGTTCTTTAATTGATTGGCATAATTGAACAACTATTAAATTTAATCGATGACAATAACACCAAATAAAAGCTGCCTTTGGCGCCTCTGCTCTAATCAAGGCTTGCACACCATTGATTCTTCCACTCATGTTTGAGGCGCCATCATAACTTTGCCCAACTAGATATTCAAGGGGTAAATTCATCGAGCCAAGTTTGGATATTATATTATGCTTTATATCGAGACCTGTGGTATTTCCCGTACAATATATGTCAATCAGTCTTTCAACAGGCTTCGGCGTCTCACTATTTTCAACATATCTTACTATCAAAGCTATTGCTTCTGATTTCGAAACATCGTATGTGCCAACAACTATGATTGAAAAGCACCTGTTAAATGTAATCTCATTTTGAATATTTTTTATAACCATATTTTTCATGGTTTCAATGAGAATGTTTATGTTATGATAATAGGTTTGAATATAATTTCGTTTTTAATCCCTTATTTTTTTTATCCTTTTTTCTTTCTTCATTTTTCTGTATATACATTTTTATTATAGGTTCAGAATCTGCAATAAGCTTAATAAGGGCCATCATATTGCCTTCTTGTTGCCTGTTCCCCCAGAAGGCTTGGTTACGAGATATTAAATAAAATTTACTAAACATCGACCAAAATTTCCGTCAATATATTAAATTAAAAATTAAGTGGTGGGGGGGGGGGGTCTTATTATTACATTTATAAACCAGAAATCACATGATCATAATGGATGTAAAAAAAAAATTTTTTAAATTTTAAAAAAATTAAAATAAAAAAATTTAAAAAAAAAGAAGTACCCCCACACAAATTTACTGAAGCAGTTGCTTCGGACCCCCCCCCCCTCCCCCTCCGTTGTAGGGGCCCCTGACCTTGGTCCCAAGGGACTAGCTTTGTGCTAAATTAATTTTAAATTAAATTTTAAATTTTGTTTAAATGTCTGATTGTGTTCGCAAAGGATATGTCCAAATAGATTTTTTTTTCTCAAATTGTTACATTGCTGGATTTTATAATTTTCTAACCAAATTCAAGTAATAAACCTAATTTTAAATATTATATTTCCTTACAAATTTAACACAATATTTTCGATATTTTTTGCCCTCAAGTTGTTGGCAATATTTATACTCTGGAATTTCATAAGTTATAAATGTATTTTTTTTAAATTTTACTAAATTAGAGCATAAAACTAAGTATAAGGAAAGACAAAGATTTAGATTATTTTGGAATTAAATAATTTTTGTATAAAATGCTTAATTATTCATCATTACTTACTAATAATAAAAGACAAAGACTATGAAAGAAAAACAAAATATTATAATGCAGATATCAAATATCATTTCCTTCAACAAATGATTAATCAAATAACCTTAATTCTATAGGCTAATTTAATTTTTTTGAAAATTGGGGAATTATCTAGGGTATTTTTGTCATGGTCCTCTTGTTCAGGATTTTTTTGCCTTCTAAAAAAATAGGTAAATTCTATGATCTAAAGTAATGTATATATAATTAAATAAAAAATAAATTATCTAATACCCTTCCCTTATTATTATTATTATCACAATTTTCTTGACAAAAAAAACTCCAATATTATACAGTTCTATTTGAATTAACATTAAAATATATATTTGCAATAAGTTTAAAATAAAATAAATATTTAGGTGGGTGAATTATTTCCATGGCAAGGGAGGTAAAAATTTTTTTTTAAACAATAGGTGGTTGGATTAAAAATCCGCTCATTACTGACCTTACTTTAACCAGTAGCGTCACCGAGGGGGGCGCAGGGAGCCTCCTTTAAAACAAATACCTTAAAAAAGGTCATTTTGAAAATATTTCAAGTAATTTCAAAAATTGAACCATTTAAAAAAATTTGTTATCAATATAAATAAAATTTAATGATTTTAATGACTTTTGTTGTTGCAGAAGGGTATTTTTTTTTCTTTAAAATATGAGTTAATTTATGCATTTATTCATATACCAAAAAAAATAATAAGAAAGACCAAATTTTTCCAAAAGCTAATAAAATTATATTACAAAAAAAAAATTAAATTTCATAATTTTAATTTTACCTGAAACCTGCTATTGCTAATAAATAATGCTAATTAGTAGTTGAATGAAGACGTGAGAGTTATTTCAAATAAATTTTTTACACTTTATGTTTTTTAAATGAAAGCAAACAGACATGACGTTAAAGGTTATTTATTTTCAAATAAATTTTTTATACACATTTATTTAAAGCTTTATATTTTTTGAAAGTTTTTGAATTTAAAATAAAACAAAATTTTTTTTTTCGCAATAATTTACGTTAAAAATTCAATATAGTATAATTTTATATTGTAAAATAACTCCTGTTTTCTAAACTACTCTCTGTCACAACGACATGGTTGTCATTGTGGATCAAAACCTAAATATAAAAATAGAAAACAAATATATATATATAAAAGGAAATTAATAATAATTAGGAATTACGAAATCCTAAAATCAACTTTAATTCTTTATTCAAAATTATAATAGTAAACATCATAAAAAAAATAAAATTAAATAAAATTAAAAAATTAAAAGTAAATTTTAGTTAAAATAATAATTCCTTTTTGCATCATAATTTCTCCATTATATATCCTTTTTCTTTAATCAACATTTACATAGTCTCCCTAGCGAAGAATAACAAGTTCTACATCCTACTTGTTAAAACTGTTAAAGTAAGAAAAAATCTACAAATCTCACGCGTTTTTTTCTCATTTACATAGACGGGGATATTTTAATAAAACATTATTTTTGTTTACGATTTGCATAATGCATTTTTTTGTAAAGTAAAACTGCAACACTCTCATTTAGTATTCTATAAACGGATTTGAGACGTTTTTAAAACAGCTAACTCAATTTATCTAGTAAAATATTACGCAAGTTTGAAGATGTTTCTTTACATGGCATAAAAGGTTTGGATGTCTATTAGCGAAATCTCGTTTTCTGGCTAATATATTGAGCTAATTTCAAAAATCGAGCCAAACAACACTATCCTCATTCGCTGTAGTGAAATATATATATCTAAATTTATTATATGTATATTATGTACAAATTAAATGTTAGTTTATTTAATAAAATTAAATTAAATCTTTTAAAAACATATTTGTCTTATTTGAAACTAAACTTTATAATAAATTATACAAAAAAAATGCTTCTATTCTAATTATATAGTATATAAACTTTGACTAATTATGTAAAAAAAATTCTCTTGGGTAAACGAAAAATAATTTGAAAAATAAGCTTATTATATAAATCCCTTTTTTAAAAGCCATCACTATCAATAATGGTTATTTACGGAAGTTATAAATTAAATTCATCATGCCTCTATTCATATTTATCTTATTGAAGCTAAAATCGAAAACTAGTATAAATTGCATATTATTTTACAGCTCTTACTTAAATTTTAAGAATATGATAAGATAAATTCCTAAAAGATAATTATTAAGATACTTAAATCAAATTCCTATCACAAAAATTATCGAGTAAATGTAAGGCTTCTAGAGTCCTGTAGGACTGCCCCTCAGCCCGGCCGGGGACCAGGTTAGTGGTAACATTATTGATAAAATATAGGCCCGGAGTGGACGGTGACCAGAATATTAATTTAAGACAACAATTTTATTAGAAAAATTTTAGGAAATATATAATGAATAATAAGTTAAATATAATATTTATACTCATCTGATAAAACAATAATCCAGTCAAAATGATAAATTAATCAAACAAAATATCATCTCATCAATATGTGAGTTGAAACATATTTTATTGAATTAAGAATCGCTTCTAGTAAGAGCCCATTACTGGAAACTGTGGGTATCATTGTTGTCAAAAATGGCAACTGGTATATTGTCCATTCAGGTCCGGCTTCATGTGAGCTGTTCTCAGTAGGGACAAATATGATAATGAAAAACAGAATATCTTTGAAGGAATAAATGATTAGAAAGACTTTATACTTAAAAAACTGGTTGTTTTCAAATTCGGATCTAGCATAATAATTTCTTTATTATATTTTGATGTTTATAAAATGAGATCATTATGCATTTTTAAAAATTTTGAATTTTAGAATATTAGATCGAAGAAATAACCTATAGAAAAGAATATTTTATTTTTATAAGTAATTCGAATTCTAAAAATCGGGTGTATATGGCCAATTATTGGGATAACGTTATAAATAGATTTATTTCGTTTGTTATTTTCTGTAAATTTTTATATGCTAATGACAATTAGTTTTAGTAGTATCCATAAAAATGTCATTTTAAAACATCATCTTCTGTTTATAATTATTTTTGCAAAATATAATCTATTTTATAAGATTTAGAAAAATTTTCGAATCGAATCGAATAATGATTTTATTATTAGTATGAATACGAATAATAAATTATTCAATTCGTGGAAATATGCATATCACAATTATTCGATTCGAAAATTAGATTAAATTTGTTTTTTGTAGGCCTAAGCCTAACTATGATATATAAATTTTACACTAATATTTTAATAAATTGCATATAGTATTGGGATATGGTAACTGAAGGACATTTTTAAATTTTTTAAAAATCTGATTTGATCGAAAATTTATTCCAGCATGCCAAGAGTATCCATATTCTGAATTTCGGGCACTTTTGCCTTTAACTTTTGAAGTACTTATATTTTATATTAATGTTTATATAAATTTTTTTCATATAAATGGGGGAAAAATACATAAAAGTTTACAATAAAATTTTCTCATATTCATAATGTGTTCAATCATCATAGTTTAGTATTTTAAGAACAAAAGTGCGCATGTAACAATCTCAAAGTCATATCTTCCATGCTTTAAATTATATTCTTTTCAATTTTTTTAAAGATAAATTAAAATTTTTGTCAACATTAAGGGTGCGCCCAAAATTAAAAACATTTTCAAAAAAAAATGATTCTTGCATATATACATTATCAATAAAAAAATTAACTTTTAAAAAAATAAAATTTTGACTTTGATCGCACCCTAATATTGCGAAAACTATATTATATTAGTATATTAAAATAAAAGACTAGATAGTATAGAATTGATCTAAAAAAGAATTTAATTAAATATATGGAAGATATTTCTTTTAGATACAATCAAAATTTTGGATCGATTCCAAATAAAATTAATTAGTATATTTCCTATTAAAGATTTCAAAAATGATGTTTATTGATTTAAAAAATAACCTATTATACCCTATTCATCAAATAGAAAATGAAAAATTATCTTACCTTTAATTAACCTAATATAACTTTAATTTAAACATTATGCATCCAATTTATTGGTTTTTAAGATCTAAGGGTGCTCGCAAAAAAGTAATCGGTTCATTGATTTAGCCAAAATTTTACCACGGAGAGGTTATGAATTTTTTTGCTCAGATTTGCCTTCAAAACCTTTTATTTTCCCGCGATAGCAAATTCTAATCAGTGCTAGTTTATAATTCTAATTTTTCCTAAAACATCATCAGCTCAGTGAATTTAGCTGAACAATGGGAGGCACTAATCTTAATATCCATGCCGATATTTAGTGCTTGATTCTTAAATTAGTTTAATAGTCAGAATCAACAGCATAAAAAAGAAGAAAAAAGTTATTAGCATAAAATTTAGGGCCAATTTTAACAGTAATATATTTCTGTAAACTTCTATAAATGTTTAGTTAATTGTTAGTATATTTAAGGGCTTTCAACTTTTTGGTATATAGAATAGAGAATTTTTTATTGCCAAAATTAGCACCACTAAGTTGTCAAAATGTTATGAAAATATCTAGATAAAATTTAAAAATATTAACTATCCAAAAATCTAGACTAATTTTAAGATCAGATATTAAATTTCAAAAAATATTTATATGACATTTATTTATGATAATATTGTAACTGACCAACGGTAAATTTGATAGTGGTTGTGGATAACCAAGGGGATTAACACGGTATAACTAGTTATTCGATGGTCCACTTTCAAAATGTTTAAAATTTATTATAAAATGAATCCTAAAATTTAAATATTTTCATAAACAACCGAATCCCCTGGCTATATATTTACTATATAATACTTATAAGAAAAATTGATATATTATACACAAAATATAAATAATGTGTATTTTATTATTCATGAATAACTGTGCTTATAGTAAGATTATATCGGATAAATTTTTAAAATAAAATAAATATGGATTCAAATATATTATTTATCATTAATAACCTCCAAAATTTAATTTCCAGGGACATTTCCCAGTCACTTTATAACTTTTTTAAAATAATAAATGATGTATAAATGGCCAAATAACCGTAACAATCTTTTGTGAGCTGGCTTGTTCGAACATTTAAATTTAAAATATTAAAACAGGGTTTCACTAGCTGCTTTTCATTTTAGCTTTACAATTTAAAGAATATTTTTTTAAAGACTATAATTTATGGGAAAAATTAGTTATTATCTGTTTTTTTTAAAATTATGGTAATATATTATTTATTATACGGTTATATATTAAGTATTATAATATATTGTGAGAAAGAAAGTGTTAAGGAGCACATAAATTATGTCGCACCAAACTAAAAATGGATGATTTTTTAAGAAATATTCAGGTCTAGTGTCATCGAGTTTCGCGGGCCCTTCTAGGTCTTTTAAGACCCTCAAGTTGTCAATTGCCTTTTAATGGTAATGATAGATGTGGATTTTATCTTTTTTTAAAGAATCCACGCACAAAGATTAAAAGAAAAGTTTATGCCAGTTCACGCCTTGAATAATTTAATTTAATTTAATTTTTTAAAATAAAAAAATCACATCCATTTCACGACTTTAAACATACATATATATGTTTATTAAATTTTCATAGTTTTTATTATAAGGGGAAAATGTTTTACGAAACACTTTATTCAAATTTAGGTTTCCAAGAAGAAAATTTTTTTTTCTTCTTGAAATGACGGAATTAGATTGGATAAGTTCTATTCTTTGATTTTCACATTTTCAAAGACCCCTATGCCCTCATTTTTAAAAGAAATTAATTCCGACAGAAGGAGTTTTGACACTTCCCCTTAGATACTCCACTATTTTATATATCTTTCATACAGTCTGGTAAATTTTATCAAAAATTAAATATTTGAAATTGTAAGCAATCCAAATAAATCCTATT